AAAAAAAAAAAAAAAAAAAAAAAAAAAAAAAAGTCCTGCGTTGGACTGTGATGAATGAAGGGATGTTTTCATCTGCTACTAGAAAGGCAGGGATACCCAGGAAGGAGCTGCAGGCCATACAGTCAGTGCTCCTTGTTTGGTGGGGAAAATCTTTTGTGCACAGAGCTTGATTCGCAGCGGGGAGCTCTAATCAATTGATTCCTCTTTGGCAGAGGCTGGACACAGCAGTTCAGTCTTGGGGAAGCAATGACATCTTAGCGAGTGTCCCAGACGCTCAAAGATAAGAGAAGAAAGCTCCTGGGAGGAAAGTCGCTAGGAGCCAGCCCTGCCCTGGCAGGAGAGAAGGCGGTTCCCGTTGGCTTCCCTTCAGGTTGGCAAGGTCACCTTGGGGGGCCGAATGCTCAGTCTCTATGGCCATGGAGGACTGAGCAGGAAAACCTGGGGTTAAAGGAAGTCAGGAGAGAGGGTAACTGGGGAAAACGCTGTGCCAGGGCTGGGACACCAGGGGGATGTTAGTGAGGATGGAAAAGGGTCATGGTTTGTCCTTTAAGAATCTCAGAGTTGGGCCGGCGATTTAGCTCAGTGGTTCTGCTGTCTGCCTCACAAGCACAAGGTTCCGAGTTTGATCCCTGGTACCAAAAAAACAAAACAAAACAAAACAAAACAAAAAGAATCTCAGAGTTGAGCCCCTAGAATGCTGGTTCCCTTCTCAAGAAGGCCATGGCACTTTCTCACTGGCAAGCCCCAAACCATGTATCAAGAAAGAAAACCTGTGCCCACGACACGAAGGAAACAGTCTGTCCAACAAAGACACAGCAAAACAGAAATACAGAACTAGGGACCACATCAATTCCCATCCTTGAAGGCTGAGGGGTCACAGGGATTTCTTGGCTTTCTCTGGGTACTGCTTGATACTGATTTTTAGCGTTTATGTGCAGAAGAGACCCTCCCTCTAATCCCAATTACCCTGAGAGGGCAATTACAGCAGGCTGCTCAGAGAAGCTGTATCGGCCCTGATTCCTACTGAAGATTTTGCTGTCCATTTTCTGGGTGAATCAGGGATATTTGTTAAAATATATTAGCAGGTTAAAGAATGAGATCACTGTTGGGGGTTTGCAAGTCTGAGGACCATATATTCTCCCCCTGGAGAGGGGGCTCCTTATTATGTTACTTCTGTCCACCTGGTCCCCTCACCTCTTTTACTTGTGGTCCTGGGATTGAATCCAGGGCTTTTGAACTGAGCTACATCTCTAGCCTTTTTTTTTGTACTGGGGATCGAACTCTGGTCCTTGTGCTTGCAAGACAGGTGGCAGAACCACTGAGCTAAATCCCCAGCCCTTCCAGCCTTTATTTTTTTTAATTTTTTTTGAGACAGGGTCTTGCTGAGCTTGTAAATTACCCAGGCTGTTCTCAAACTTGCAATCCTCCTGCCTCAGCCTCCCAGAATGCTAGGAACCCTGGCATGCACCACCACATCCTGCTTCCGCCCGATCCCTTTTAACCAGCTTTGGTAATTTTTTCCCAAGGCTGAATCAGAAGTCCCACCTGGTTGAATAAAAAAATACCCATCACCTTCCTCCTTGACATTACTTCTGGGCTCCAAAATGTCAATGTTCAATTTCATTCATATTCTTTCAGTTCATAATACAATTAGGGGAACCCCAGGACAAGGAACTCATCCCAGGTCACCCAGTGGCACAGTGGGAAGATCCTTATTCCCAGAGAGCAGTAATTCTGGGCCTGTGGGTAGGATGTCTGGGGAGAGCCTGTGAGTGTGGTCACATCACGGACCCCTGGCTGGGCCGGAGTTTCAGTTCCCGGTGAGGGACATCAGCGCAGACCCTGAATGAAGGACATGTGAGGAATTCACACGGGCCAGGGGCACCCTACTTGGCACTGAGGTTATTCCTCGAAGGCGGTGGACTCAGATCTAAGATAAACACATTTGCACAGGCAAAGGACACATGGAAACCAGGGCCCGCCACCCACATGACCAAACTGCCATCCTAAGAAAGGATCGGGGGGACTTGAGTAGCAGAGAGACTGGCTCGGACTTCTGTCGAGCGCCCACAGCCTCTCCAGGGGACCCCCGAGGACAAACCCTAACGGGAGTGATGGCCACGGTCCAGTGGTTTCATGCACCCGTGATTTGCTTTGGGCAGCCAGGAAGCAGGGAGGACACAGTTGTGCAGGAACCACTGCGGGTCATAAAGGCGTTGCACTGCAGCAGAGAACTCAAGGAGAAGACCCGGGAGGGCCGAGGACGCCACAGAGGGGCAGAACCTCGAGGAGGAGGGGAAACCAGGAGGAGAGGTGGAGTGGGGCCGCGTGGGTCCCACAGGAAGGGTTCGGCCGCGAATCCACGCCCAGGAAAGCTGCGGCCACCCCTGCTGGAGCACTTGGGGAGCCACCCGTCCTCTCTCTGGGCAACAGGGTCCAGTTAGGAGCCGAAAACCCTGTTGGAGGAGAAGGGAACACAATCAGTGCCACGCAGCCAGGCGCTCTGATTCCTTCCACAGACCAGAGGAGAAAGTGCCTGCAGGCCAGGCTCCAGGGCTTGATGGCTGGTATGTATTCGGTGGCCCCGGTGTATGGGCAGGGCCGGAATGAATAAATGAATGTTACCAACAGTTAGACAGGAAGAGGGACAGGCATGGGACTTTGACAGTCGAGGAAGGTGTGATCTTCAGTTATGTGTGTCCCGTGGGCACAGTGCTACAGGGTCCCCTACCACCGAGCTGTCATCTCAGCCCCTTTCATGTTTGATTTTGAGACATGGTCTTGCTAAGTTGCCCAGGTGGGACTCAAACCTGCCATCCTCAGCCTCCCAGAGTACTGGGATTATAGGTGCAGGCTCAGCAGAGGGGGATTGTTAAAGTGCAGAACGCAGCACCCTAACTCCTGAATTTCAAATTCAACAGGCCTGGGGCAGCCTGGGAATTTGCATTTCTATAGGGTCCACAGGTGGCCCTGATTCCGCTGGTCTGGAAGTCAGACATCCCAGTCCCCTGAGATGGAGGCAGCTTACTCATCTGCGTCTTTTTTGCTCTCTTCAATGAAGGCAATGGACTCAGATCTAAGGCGGTTGGTCACTTCGTACGTGCGCAGGGTGACTCCAAAAATATCTTCATGGTACCGGTTGTCATCCTAGCGGACAGAAAGAGCCAGAGAACAGCCATGAAATGCCACCTCAGTGCTTGGAGAGAGGGCACATGCGCTCTCCTCTGGAAGGCAAAAGACCTAGAGGAGATGGTTCCTAATAACAGGAGGCTGAGCCCAGGGTCGCCGGGCGATTTGTTCTCTAAGGCTGTGTCAGTGAAACTCTGTCCCCCATGGCAGTTGGCAAAGAGCACAGCTGTCGCTGTTGGAAAGGGAGTGTCTGCTGGGTGGATTCCGAGCCTAGAAGAAGTGGCGAGGCCATTCTGTCCCTCCTCCCCGCTCCTCCCACTTGTTCCTGCAAGCTCAAGGTTAGAGCCGGGTACTGCTGGCTTAGGTGTGACCTGTCACAGCCCGGAGAGACCACAGAGAGTGGAGGAAAGCAAAGTGGCTGATGTGGGGCAGCCCACTGCTGTCTCCGACGTGAACTCCTCTGGCAGGACAGAGGGGTGGGTGTTCAAGCATATTCTCAAAGGGCAGCACCTCTGAGGGGCCAAGGAGGGTAAAGGTGTCACTGTGCTGAGGAGGGGCGGCACCTGGGGTGCACCGAGCCCCAGCACCTCTTGGCCCTGAAGGTTTTGGAGAAAGCTGCCCATCTGCAGAGTGGGTTCATTTCATTGGGGGAGGTTTTTCAGCTCTACAAAGACTGATGGAAAATACAGTGTGCTTAAATTTAAAAAAATGATTACAGTAAAAGACACATTGTCTCAAACCCCCCTCAAAACACCCACTTTGAACACATGTATCCTGTCACTCTTGCCACCTTCTGAAGCAGTTCTAGAAGTCCTCTTTTGTGAGTCTCTTTATGAGATGTGCTAAAAAAACAATACAGCGAATGCGGCTGCTGAATGCCGTTCAATGTAGAGACAGGTTCCTGAAAACACCTGCCATCTGACAGAAAGGCGGGCTCATAAGAACATCACAGCGTATCGTCATCCACCTTAGCCACCGTGGGACTAGTAGCTTTTCCTCAAAATCAATTCGATTCAGGACACTGAGGCAGCCACGACAGTGCAACCAAAGACACGCATGAAAGAGGACTTCCAGACCTGCCGCAGAAGGTGGCAGGAACCAAGAACGAAGAGATTGAAGAGGACATCAGAAAATGGAAAGATGTCCCCTGCTCCTAGATAGAACCAATATTGTCTGAACAACCATTCTCCTAAAACGGTTATACAGATTCAATGCAGTCTCAATCAAAATACCAATAGTATACTAGAGAAAACCATCCTCAAGTTCACGTGGAACACAGGAGAGACCCAGAATAGCAAAAACAATCTTGGGCAACAAAAACGAAGCAGAAGGTACTACAATATCTGACTTCAAGCTATACCACAAAGCAACCATGATAAAAACAGCATGGTATTGGAATAAAAATGGACATGTGGGTCAAGGGAACAGAACAGAGGATACAGAAACATTCCCAGACACATTCAGCTATTTGATCCTCGACAAAGGGGCCAAAAGGATGTTGGAGGAAAGACAGCCTATTCAATAGGTAGCACTGGAAAATTGGTTATCTGTTTAGAGAAGATTGAAACTGGACTCGTATCTCTCACCGTATATTAAACTAAAACTAAAAGGAATCAATGGTCTAAACAGTGAACCTGCTGGAAGAGAAAACAGGTAAAACACTTAAAGTCATGGGTTTAGGAATTCAGAACCTCAGTTGTGCAAGAAATAACAGCAAGAACCAACATATGGGATCACATCAAATTAAAAAGCTTCTGCACAGCAAAAGAATCAGTTAGCAGAGTGAAGAGGCAACCTACAGAATGGGAAAACATTTTGCCAGCTATTCCACAGATAGAGGACTAATATCTAAAATATACAGAGAACTCTAAAAGCCATTGGACCACCTGCTATGGCTTATGTCTAGATGTCCTCCCAAAGCCTCATGAAGCCATATGTGGGTTGTTTTGTTTTGTTTTGAGACAGGATCTCACTATGTAGTTGAGACTGACCTGGAACTCACTATGTAGCCCAGGCTGGTCTTGAACTCACAGCGATCCTCCTGCCTCAGCCTCCTGAGTGCTGGGTTTACAGGCGTTTGCCTCCACGCCCGGCTTTGGGGTTTTTATTTAGAGGTGGCTGGATCCAGAGTGTATGACACTGGGATTGATTCGTGGTGCAATGCTAGGCTCAAGGGCACTAGGTTAAGGGTGTGAGTGCTGCCCACCCTATGTAGTCTAGATAAAAGGGGTAGAAATACACTGTTAAGGTCCCTTATTGCTTTGCCACCTTCAGTCCTCCATGAACCATTACCCTTCTGCCATGCTACCCTGCCTTGGAGCCAGCAGTTATGGACTGAAACCTCTACAAACTGTGAACTGAATAAATCTTTCCTCCTTTAACCTTGGGTATTGGGTATTTCGTCTCAGCAGCAAGAAAAGTAACTAAGACACCACCTAAAAGACTCAATCAAGACATAGGCAAGTGAAATGAACAGACACCTCTCCAAGGAAAAAGTAAAAGTGGCCAACAAATACATGGAAAAAATGTTCAATGTCTCTGGCCATTAGAAACATGCAAATGAAAACAATTCCAGATTGTATCTTATAGCGGAGAGAATGGCCATCATTTAGAAGTCAAAAAATAACAAATGCTGGTGTGACAGTGGTGGAAAAGGAACCCTTCTTCATTGCTGGTCGGCATGTATACCAGTTCAACCATTATGGAAATTAGTATGGAGATTTCTCAAAGAAGTAAAATTAGAAGTTCCCTATGACCCAGGGATTCCCCTCCTAACCTCACCAAAGAGCTAAAGATATCCTACCATGGCACTACGTGCATTCCCAATGTTTATAGCAGCATGATGCATAGCTAACTCTTGGAAGCAGCCTATACACTCATCAGCAGATAAGTGGATAAAGGAAACTTAGTACCTATACAAAATGGAATACTACTTGGCTATAAGGGATGAATTTGAGACATTTGTAGGATGTACATGGAAAGTATAGTGTTGAGAGAAATAAACCAGACACCCAAGGCTAAATACCATACAATGTACCTCCTACAAATAAGGCAAAGAACGGACAAAGAGCACAATTAAAGGATGGCTAGAAGGAGACAAGGGGATGGGGCTCTTGCAAATGGGAAGTGGTCCAGGAGACCGAGGGCAAGGGGAGAGGGAGGGAGAGGAAAATAAGCAGAATACAGACACGCTATGTACAGGAAGCTAATTACCCTCAGTGAATGTAAACACCGTATGTCATAAACACGAGCTAGGAGTAAAAATGTCCACAAGAATAAAGACAGGGAAAGGGGAACTGGAGGAGGAAGGAAGGAAGTGGAAAGGAAGGGGACTGAAAGCAAAAGCTGTATTCTGTACACGTACCCACTCCCCAAGATGACTGTGAACCGAGAGTCCTGCAGACAGGCACCAGAGGAAAGCGGCAAGATTGACGGGATGAGTGTGTCTGCATCGAGGGAAATGGCAATGGACCTTTTACTACCCTTTTGTTTAAATTAGTGATTTTTTTGCGGGGGGGATCTGATCTTGTACTCTACAAAGTTCTGGGATCAGACACTGAAGACATAGCCATCCCTGCAGCTCTCCTGGGCCTGTGATGGTTCTATGAGGAAGTTATTTGTTACTTTTAGGGATGGTTTAGCATCAGATGTAGAATAAGGGCTTTTTGCTGTACATGTGTGACCAGCACAGCTGTGTTTCATCACTGTTTATTTAGAAAAGTAGGAGGAAGCAGTGGGGCATCTTGGGAGCTTTTTTCCCATTGGGCCAGCTGGTCACATGGTTACCACTTCGCTGGCTGAGCTACCATTCACCTCTACCCAGCCTTTAGGCTCCTCCTGAGGAGTAGACACAGTTCCACACCAAGGCTTGTGGATTGGAGAATGCAGCACGAGGTAGCTTTCAGAACCTTCCTGCCTCACTTGGACTGATCTTTTTGTATCATGCACAACCTGTAGAACTGGACGGGTTGGTTCTGGGAGCGGGAAAAGTTGTTTTAGGATGGTTTCTGCCCTGTTACCCAGAGGTCCCTTTACTCGTTATTTTTACGCATCATAGCTCCCAACCATGTTTACCACACTTAACCTGCCGGCCTGCTTGTCTTTCTTTCTCTCCTACCCACCCACAAGTTGGGACCACCTGTATCCTCTGCCCCCAGTCATAAGCACAAAATGGGGAGCAGTGACATCATCGTGGCTCCCCCAATCATGGCCAGGCGGGGTGAGGAACAGGAGACAGGAAACTGGGTGCTGGGAAGGACAGCTGAGAAGCCAGCCTGCCCGTCGCTCACCCTCAGCCTGCTGATGAACACGCCAGCATCCTCCTCCGAGAGTCTGCCCTGCTGAGCCATGATGCGCTGGATGGCCTTGAGGACGTCAGCGGCCATGGTGACGTCCCCGCAGACGTAGATGTGGCCCCCTTGCTCCTTGAGGGCTCGGTACACGGCCTCCGCCAGCTGCTCTTCTAGGATGTCCTGCACATACTTCTGCGGAGGACAGGAGACCGGGCTGTGTGAGGCTCCTGGCGTGGCTCACATCCCTCCAGACGGGACAGGGCATGCAAGGGCTTGTGGACAGCTTGGATATTTTGTGGGGTGGCCCCAGGGAAGGAGGGACCAGCAGAGTGAAGCAGGGAAGGGGGGGGAGCTGTCTGCAAGTGCGGGGAGGAGCTGCTCCCCATTCTGAGTGACTGGAGTGTAACGGACCCTCTGGGAGCCAGGCCACGCTCCTCACAGTCATCCCTCGGAAGGACACCTGAGGGGCCCTGATCTGCCCGCTCCTCTCAGCAGTAGCCAGTGGTTGTACATTGGGTGTGGGCATTGTACACTTCCGGTGCAGGCTGGGTACCTGAACGTCCCCAGGCTGCAGCACTAGAGAGGCCCAGGCTGGCTGAAGTAAGAGGGGGCTCAGAGCACGTGCACAGGCTCATGGGTATGGTGTTCAAAGGGCCAGGCTGGGCTTGAATTTGCAATCGTCTTGCCTCAGCCTTCCACAGGGCTAGGATGACAGGCTCGCACCACCAGGCCCAGCTCAGTTCCACAACTCCTTTGTTACTCCAAATGGAAAGCGTGCACTCACAAAGCAGTCACCCCTGTTACCCCCTTCCCAGGAACTTCACCATCAACCACCTGACTGGAGTTGCCTCGCCTGGAATCAGGGGAAATCCTTTTAGTAGCGCGATGGGTGAAATATGAAATGTCCCCCAAAGACTCGTGAATTGAGGTCTTGACTCCAGTGTAGCCATGTTCAGATCACGACTGGATCAATCCACTAGTGAGTTCCTAGCTGAGCAGGCTGTGAGGGGACAGAGCCCCCACCGGAGGAAGTAGTTTACTGGGGGATGTGCTGTTATAGGACAGACCCTGTCGCAGGCCCTTCCCTTTGGTGCTCTCTCTCGCTCTCTCTCTCTCTCTCTCTCTGCTCTGAGGTAAGCAGCTTTCCACCGCCACACCCTTCCACCATGACGTTCCTGCCTCAGAGCCGGCAGACCATGGACTGAACCCTCCGAAACCATGAACTGACCTGTCTGAAAATGTCAAGTCGTGGGTGTCAGGCATTTTATCCCAGCAAGGGAAAAAGAATACAAATAGATCCCTCTGCACACTTTCAGGAGTACTGACGAGAACTCAGAAAGGGCAAAGGTAGAGGAAGGGTCCCAAGACCCCTCTCAGAGGGCGCACACACGAGGGCATGTGAGTGGGTGTGACTCACCTTTGGTTTGTCTGGCTCTCGGGAGTAGGCTGCATACAGCTCTCTGAAGACCCCCTTGTTCTTGGCCTGCAGGGTCTCCTCCCTGTAGATGTGATCTATTTTTGATTGCCGGCACCCGAAGACCAGGACCATCGGGCAGGGATTTATTCCTGGGGACCAGAAGGCCATGTGTCAGGGAGGACTCTCGTGCCCAGGCAGGGGTGAATGAAGGTGCCAGGGTGGAGAGCTGGGACCTGGAGGTTTGCCATGCACACCGAGGCTGAGGAGCACCAGGGCAGTTGTATGGGCACACACACACACACACACACACACGCACAGTAGAAGGTGGGTTGGTGTGCTCAGGCTTTGACAGATTTCCCTTCCCTAGGTTTCCATCCTTCCTGCTGCCCCCCGTGCTGCTTAGCAGCCCCCCAGCACCAGGTAGTGCTGAGCCCAAACTTCAGACAGACCACTTGGGTTCCAATTACAGCTGTGTAACAGTGCACAGCTCAATCTTTTATGCCTCTGTTTCTCCAAATCCAAAACAGAAACACAGTCGCTCCTTATATTTGCGGCAGAGGAGTACCAGGACCCCTTCCTGGATATGAAAATCTGCAGGTGCTCAAGTCCCTTCTATGAAATGGCACAATATTTGCATAGAACCCATGCACATCCTCCCGGATACTTTAAATCATCTCCAGATAATTATAACAACAGAAACAATGTAAATGCTACGGAAATAGTTGTTATACTGCATTGTTTAGGGGATAATGACAAGAAAAAAGTCTGAGCCAGGCACGGTGGTGCATGCATGTAATCCTAGCTACTGGGGAGGCCAAGGCAGGAGGAAGCGAATTCATGGCCATCCTGGGAAACTTAGTAAAACCTTGTTTCAAAATAAAAATGTATATAAAAAAAGGAATCTGGGGATGTAGCTCAGTAGTACAGTGCTTGCCTAGCCCGGGTGAGGCCCTGTGTTCAATCGCCAGAACCAGAACCAGACACATAAAAGCTAGCACACATTCAGTATAGACATAATTTTTCTTCTAGTATATTTAATCTGCAGTTGGGTGATGCAGAAGATTCGGAACCCATGGATCCAGAGGGCTGACTGTAATAACAACACCTCCCTCATGGGGTTATTGTGAGAAGTAAGTGTGAAATGTGAAAACTGGGCCTGGCTTCTAGTGAGCACTTTTCAAAGAGCAGCTGTTCTGCTGGACCCGGTGTCAGGGTGTGTTTAGAAGGGCCACTGGAGCGACACCATGGACTTCACCACGGGTCAGGTTGGCACTGCATCCGTTCCGCCAAGGTGGGGAAGCAACGGAGACACCGCTCCTACCCACCTTTGTGCTGGATGTCGAACTGCCGTTGCTGCCAGAAGCTCCGGAAGGGGGCAATGCCAGTTCCCGGGCCGACCAGGATGCAGGGGACCTGGGGGTTTTGGGGTAGGTGGAAGCTGGGTGCGCTGGACAAGGAAGAGAGAATCAGAAGTCTTGCTGAGCCCAGATCTGATCCCAAACAGTGGGTTCCAAGGCAGACTAGGCAGTGATGCAAAAGTCTGAGCTCAGGGCTCTATTTCTGGAAGCCCCGGGAAGTTCTGATGCCAATGGCATGTGGACCAGACTGTGAATATTCTACTCTCAATGGCTGAGAGAAAACGGTGAGCCAAGGTCACAGCTCAGGTACAGAAGCTTTTGATGGGCCACGCAGGTGCTTATCACAGGGCTATACTGGGATCTGCCTATTAACATAGAGTGGGGCCAGGGATTTAGCTCAGGGGCACTGGGCCTGCCTGGCAAGTGCAAGGTCTGAGTTCAATCCCCAGTATCAAAAAGAACACTGAGTGGGGAAAGGAAAGTTCCAGTGCATGGGGCAGGTGAATAATGGATGAGGTGGTGACCGGTAGAAACTGGGTGGAATCCCTGCTAGTCTGCAAATTCCACAGACTGAGACTGGTTCCCCACGGTAGCCCAGCCCGCGGCACATACTGCCCCGAGGAATTCTTATCACACAGCCTTGCCTTTGCCTAGAGGACTGGCTTCGCTCCATGCCACTGTCTCATGACCCCGTTCCCCTGACATCTTGGAACGATGCAGGCTGCTGGTCTCCGTTCCTTTGGACCCAGTCATCTCCCTGCAGCCCTGCAGGCCTGTCCCCACCACCCCAACTTGCGACACCAACATGCAGATTCGAGACGGCCTCGGATTGCTCTCGTCACTCACCCTCTCACAAAACAGGGAACCACTTCGCCAGCCTGTATCTGGTTGAGCCAGGAGGAGCACACACCGTGGTGAATTGGTCCTTCTCCATCTAGCAGAGTAACGAGCAGGGTAGCCTGGCTGCCCCCCAGCCCCATCTCCCCACACCCTCCAGGGCAACAGGCTCTCAGGCCAACACCACCCCTCTGCTTTGGAATTCGAGGTCTGGGGAGACCTCAGAAGGGGGAGAGGGAGTCCTAGAGCCGGTGTGGGCTGGTGGCTGTGCACCGGGCCGGGGCTGTGTTGGGTGCAGGTGGGTTGTATTCGAACCCCGTCCACTGAATGGCCTTGGTCAGGGTGCTGGGGGAGGTGGTGGGCGGGTCCTGGTGTTAGTCTGCAGGCACTGCGCGTTTCAGTTGCTTTTCAAGGAGGGGAAATACAGGGGCAGAGCTTGGGCAGTGAGCCGCCCCAGGGAATGGCTGGTGAGGCTTGCTCTAGTCACTGCCTTGGGGCACCAGAGGATGCAGAAAGTCAGGAAAGCAGTGTGCGTCTCAGGCTTGGAAGAGCCAAGGCTCCCAAATACACGCCTGGCTCTTTCCTAGGTCTGCTTAGGGATGGCTCTGTGTTGGGGCAGTTTGCGTGCCCTGCGTCTGTCCTCAGTTCCCACACGTTGGGTGGGAGCGTCCTACAGGGATTTGGGATCGGGATATGTGGCTTTCGGGCAGTGAAGCAGGGAGACACCTCCAGAGGCCCCGGGGAAAGGCAGACCCACACCTCTGCCCACCTCGGGTGCGGTAGGAGACGATGGCCACGGTGAGGTGCACCTCGTCCGGGTACATGTCCGGGGAGGAGCTGATGGAGTAATAACGAGGCTGGAGCAGGGACAGCTGCGTGAGCAGCAGGGTGGCCGGCATCTGGATGGACGGGAACTCCTCCAGCACTTCCACCACGGTGGGGTTCTTGCCCCACTTCCACGCCTCGTACTCCTGCAACCCCTGTGCCAGGAAGGGACAGAGCTGAGTGGGAGACCAGCTACTGCCCATTTCCACCTATTTGCGGGTGCAAAGTAAAAGTGAGACGGGTGCCCCTGCCAGGGGAGTCGTGCTGTGCTGGGTTTTCATACCCTGAGGACATTCTGGAATCGTTACTAACTTGGTTCCCTTGGGCTGCTACCCCCAAAGGCTTCTGACAGATGCACTGGGACAACGGAAACAGGAAACACAGACAATGGAAATCAGGGCACCAGCAGATCTGGTGCCTGGGGAGGGCTACGCTTCACACACGGCACCTACTGCATGTCCTCATGTGGCCGGAGGGGTGAACCCACCTAGGAGTGGTGGTGCACACCTGTGACTCCAGCACTCTGAGAGGCTGAGGCAGGAGGATTGCAAGTTTGAGCCCAGCCTGGGCAACTTAGTGACTTAGGGAGACTTTGTCTCAAAATAAAAAAGAAAGAAAGGACATGGAGATATGGCCCAATGTGAAGGCCTGGGTTAAATCCCCAGTACTTAAAAAAAAAAAAAAAAA